GAGAATGGACTGATGCTTGTTCTATTTTCATCATCTGAATCAGTATGCCACAGCTAGTAGGTTGTATTTTTTTTTTTGGTTGGTGGTGGTTCGGGTTCTATAGTTTCCGCGTCTGAGTGTTGCTCTTTTAAAACTTCTGAAAGCATGCTCCACACCTCGTCCGTCTCAGATTTTGGAAGGAACTTCAGATTCTTAAATCTTGGGTCAAGTGCTGTAGCTATTTTTAGAAATCTCACATTGGTATGTTCTTTGCCTTTTGTTAAATCTGCTGTGAAAGTGCTCTTAAAATGAACATGTGATTGGTCATCATCTGAGACTGCTTTAACATGAAATATATGGCAGAATGCGGGTAAAACAGAGCCAAAGACGTACAGTTCTCCCACAAGGAGTTCAGTCACAATTTTTTTAACGAGCATCATCAGCATGGAAGCATGTCCCTCTGGAATGGTGGCCGAAGCATGAAGGGGCATACGAATGTTTAGCGTATTTGGCACTTAAATACCTCACAACACTGGCTATAGAAGTGCCATGAGAACACCTGTTCTCACTTTCAGGTGACATTGTAAATAAGAGGCAGGCAGCAGCATCTCCTGTAAATGTAAACAAACTTGTTTGTCTTAGTGATTGGCTGAACAAGAAGTAGGACTGAGTGGACTTGTAGGCTCTAAAGTTTTATATTGTTTTGGTTTTGAGAGCAGTTATGTAACAACAAAAAAATCTGCATTTGTAAGTTATGCTTTCAGAATAAAGAAATTGAACTACAGTACACCTCTACCTTGATATAACGCTGTCCTCGGGAGCCAAAAAATCTTACCGCGTTATAGGTGAAACTACGTTATATTGAACTTGCTTTGATCCACCAGAGTGCGCAGCCCTGCCCCCCCAGAGCACTGCTTTACCGCGTTATATCCGAATTCGTGTTATATCGGGTCGCGTTATACTGGGGTAGAGGTGTACTTGTATGAGGTTAATTGAAAAATAGTATTCCTTTTGTTGATTATTTTTAACAGTGCAAATATTTGCAATAAAAAATAATAATATAAAGTGAGCACTGCACACTTTGTATTCTGTGTTGTAATAGAAATCAATATATTTGAAAATGTAGAAAAACATCCAAAATATTTAATAAATTTCAATTGGTAGTGTATTGTTTAACAGTGTGATTAATCACGATTAATTTTTTTAATTGCGATTCATTTTTTTGAGTTAATCGAGTGAGTTAACTGCGATTAATTGACAGCCCTAATTATTTCCTGACACCTGCAGATGACTGATTTGATTATCTTATCTTAACAGAACTGAAAGTGTTATGAATATGCAGAGTGCAATGCAGGCAATCCTGTTCTGCCCATGGCCCCTGAAGGAAGGGGAGGAGCAAGGGGATTCAGATTCACAGATTTCAAGGCCAGAAGGGACCTCCACAACCATCCAGCTTGACCCTCTGCACATAAAGGTCATAGAATATCTCCCAGACACTGTATTACAGCATATATTTTTTAAAAGAGATCTAATCTGGTCTTAAAAGCACTGAGCAACAGTGGATCTACCACCTCCCTAGTAAACTGTTCCAATTTTTAATTACCCTCATAACCAGGAAACTATGTCTTATTTCAAAGTCGACTTTATTTAATCTCCAGCCACTGGATCTTGTGAAGCCTTTGTAAGCCAGGGTGAAAAGTCCTCCTGATATCAGATAACTTTTGCACGTGTACGTACCTAGACACAACGATCGAGTCACCACTCAACTTTCTCTTTGATAAATTGAGCTCCTTGACTAGCGTCATAAGGCCTGTTTGCCAGCTCCTAGATCAATTGTGTGTCCCTCCTTTGAACTCTCTCTAGTATTTTCATATCCTCCTTGAAGCATGGACACCAGAACTGGACACAGTGTTCTAGTAGTGGTCTTGCTGTAGACAGCGGAAATATCCCTTCCATGCTTCTCGTGGATATTCCCCACTTTTTATACATCCAAGGATTGCATTAGCCCCTTTTGCCACAGCATTGCTTTGACTGCTAATGTTGAGGTGATTATCTGCGATGACTAAGTCCTTCTGTGAGTCACTGCTTTCCCAGACAGCCTCCCATCCTCAGGTACAACATGTGTTACAACTTATTTCTCATTCAGAAGTAAAGTGAACATAGTTTGCTTTAGCTTAAGCGAACTAAGGCCTCTTTACTTCTGAATGAGAACATCCACACAGCGGTTTAATGCACTTTCATTTCACTCCTTTGTTTAATTAGTGTTAACTTTTCTGAGTGTCCCTGTGTAGACAAGCCACAAGTAATATGCTCTACATGCAGGTCAAGCATGCTACTTAAAGGAGGATGCAGTCTTCTCAGATGTGAGTCTCCCATGCAGGATTTCCATTGCCTGTAAATACCACTTCCTATATGTTTTAGTTATGTAGGAGTCTTAACGTTTCACAAAGATCTGCCTAGCTGTTATTGATCACAATTTCTTCCTATTAGCACAGATACAATTAGTTGCAAAGGGATAGGTGGTGGCAGGTTTCTGAAGCATGTGTGTAGTGGTGATACTCTTTTAGTACAGGTTACAGCTGCTTGAAAAAACTGTTTGTTGTGTGGGAATTCTGAGATTTTGAAATTTGGTTTCATCCTTAATTGGGCAGAAACATCAAAATCTCAGAATTCTTCATGGAATGAAATACTCCAAAAGTATTTTCTTTCAACTTCATCGTTCTGATTTATTATAATTTGTCATGTATCTAAAAGTTTAAATGTTTTGACTTTAATATTGCAATTAATAAGATAACAAAAGTAAAAAAGTTAAAAATAGAGGTTACTTACCTGTAACTGGAAGTTCAAGATGTGTGGTCCCTAAGTGTATTCCACATGTGAGTGTGCACGCATGCCATACACCCCAGTCCGGAAAGTCTAACAAGCCGTGTCCGTTGGCCCACGCATACTCAGTAGTCCTCCTCATGCTCCAGACCAAGCATGTAAGAGGAAGCGCAGGCTGAAGTCTCTCCAGTTCCTCCTCCTATCGTGAATCGAGGAGGATCTGAAGCAGAGGGGACAGAGGGCGGGTAGTGGAGTACAGATAGGGACCACACATCTCGAAGAACTTCCAGTTACAGATAAACAACCTCCATTTCTTCTTTGAGTGCCGGCACCTATGTGTATTCCACACGTGGGTGATTGACAAGGAGTGTTGAGACAGGAGAGGTGAAGGGTGAGAGGATGCCTGAACTAGCGCATAATGTTTTGTAAATGGAGCCGCTCTGCATATGTCCAGTATGGGTACTTCCTGCCGGGATGTTGTAAAGGCAGCTTATGCTCTTGTGGAATGTGCTCTTACCTCAGGCAGAGGGAAATGTGCTAATTCATAGCACATGATGATGTAACCAGAACTCCATTAGGAGATTCTCTGAGAGGATATAGCTTGTCCTCGAGTCCATTCCACTATAGCAAGAAATAGCCTAAATGATTTTCTGACAAATGTGGTCCTCTGCAGGTAGAACGCTAAGGTGCGTCTGAGGTTGAGGGAATGAAGTCGGCACGCCTCAGCAGAAACATGGGGTTTCAGGAATAAAATGGGTAAGTGGATAGTTTGGTTGATGTGGATTTCAGAAATAACTTTGAGGAAGAATTTAGTATGTAGGTGAAGGGAGAAAAACAGCATACGGTGGGTCTGCCAGGAGGGCTCCCATCTCACTCACCTTCTGGTTGAGGAAATAGCAACTAGAAACATGACTTTCATGGACAGGTGCGATATGGAGCATATTACCACGTGTTCAAATGGTGGCCTGGTGAGTGCTAATAGGATGAGGTTGAGGTCACATTCAGGTGTAAGTTTTACAACTGGCAGAAAGGTCCTGACTAGGCCTTTCATAAACCTCACTGCCACGAAGGCACTGACTGCTGCAAGATGGACCAATGGTGAGCTAATGGAAGGACTTGAGTTTTTTAAAAACAGGAAATAATCTTAAACAACTAAGATATTTGCAGAAGTTGGAAGCGGCGGTTTATTCTGAGCCTAGGTAGACAAGCGTCTCCTTTTAGCTAGGTACAGGTTCTAAGTCTTTCCTACTTTGAGTAAGAATAGCTTGGCCTGGTGCTGAGCAACAGTGTTCTCGTTCTGATGCCCATCCAAAACACTAGGCCATGAGGTCGAGAGGGTATGGATTGGGGTGGCTGATTCTGCACCCTTCCTGAATAAGGAAGGGGCAGATCCCAACAGGAGGGTGGCTTGACATTCTCAGGAGCTACAGGAACCAAAAGTATCTGGGCCAGCTGGGCATGAGAAGAATGACTTTGGCCCTGTCCTGAGGGATGTTTCTTAAGACCTGTGGTAACAGGAGAATGGGAGGAAAGGCATATCTGAGATTGTCTGTCCATGACAACAGGAGAGCATTGCCCTGGGACTGTGACCTATAGCTCCTCTGGAGAAGTACAAGTGAAGCTTCCTGTTCATTTGGGACGTGAAGAGATCCCATTGAGCTGTTCCCCACTGAGTGAATATCTAGCTCAGTATAGAGCTGAGATCTCCCATGCATGGTTTGCAGAAAAGTATCTGCTCAGGTTATCTGTTGGGGAGTTTGGGACATTTGGAAGGTATGTGGCTGGGACTGATGTGGTTTGTGATGCACCAGTTCCAAAGCCTGACTCCTACAAAAAGGGGATGACATCTTGCTCTACCCTGTTTGTTTATGTAAGACCATGGTGATGTTGTCTGACATTACTTGGACATGAAGTGAATGAATGAGCGGGAGAAAAGCCCTGCATGCCAGGTGGACTGCTCTCAGTTCCAGTAGATGAATGTGCAGTCTGGCCTCCCAGATAATCCAAGTGCCAGGTTCAATCTCCTGGTAAGAGAGATGCTGACCATGGTGGGAAAAGTCACTCTGGTGTTGATGTGATCCTGGTCTGGTGAGTAGACTGACTAGAGCCAGGCCAGTGGGCAGCGTAGATGAAGCCTGCTGAACGGTGTGTCATAAGTACAGGAGGCCACATGAACTAGAAGAGAAAGGGACATCCTGACCATAGTCCTTGGTCTGCGAGTCATCAGTGCTATCAGATTGCTCATTAACTAAAATCTTTCTATGGGGAGAAAAGCTCTTGTTGCAATGGAGTCCAGTGTCACTCTGATAAAGTTTATCATCTGTGTGGGTGTTAAAGCAGACTTTTCGTTGTTTAAACAGACACCCAGCGCTTCTAGGAGATGTAGAAAGAACAAAGATGCTGATCTGAACTCATGGATGCAATGACCTACTACGAGCCAATCGCTGAGATATGGGAAAACTGTGTAACCCTGACATTTCATTTTGGCTGCCACCATAAAGAAGACCTTTGTAAATACTTTGAGTGCTGTTGCTAGTCCAAAGGGAAGGTCTCTGAACTGCAAATGTTCCTGACCCACTCGAAACCAAAAGGAACTTTCTGTGGGACAGATGAATATCTACATGGAAATAGGCATCCTTCATGTTGCTTGCCACAAACCACATTTCCTCCTGTAGAGAGGGGATTATTGATGCTAGTCTAACCATCTTAAATTTGGCTTTCGAATAAAGGTGCTCAGCTGTTGAAGGTCCAGAATGTGTCTCCACCCTCCGTCTTTTGGGGGGACTAAAAAATAAGGGGTATAGAACCCTCTCCCTTGATACTGAGGTGGCACTTGTTCTATTACCTCTTGTTTGGAGGTAGACTCCCTCCTCCTACACCTCATGAGAATGGTCCCTGAAGGGGGACCAGGAAGGGTTTTGTGAGGAGGGAGGGAGGGAAACTCTACAGCAGGGGTCTCAAACTCAAATGACCATGAGGGCCACATGAGGACTAGTACATTGGCCCGAAGGCCGCATTACTGACACCTCCCCCCCGCCACCCTCGGCCCCGCCCCCACTCCACCCCTTCCATGAGGCCCCACCCCTT